TTTGCCAACTGGCAGCACAAGGGCCTGCCATTGCTTCTAAGTTGTTATGCAACCAATTGAGAACTCTCAGAACTCCTATGCAAAGCCAACTTTAACTGGAATAGGCACAAAAATGTCAACACGATAGGTTATAAACCTCAAGTCGTGTGCTAGTGAAGAACTTCAGGTTTTTATTCTTGATTAGTTCTTGGAACTTTCAAGAGCTTTAAGACTCCCACTGTCCTCTTGACATATAAGACTCTCTTGTCAAGAACCATTTCTTATCAAGGGTCAGTGCAGATTCTTATCAAGACTAACACTTCACATAATTGGCCTTAGTTGGTCTCTGTTTAACCAAAACATCACAACTTACCAATTTCAAATGTACAAGAGTAGAGACACATTTTACTCTTACACTTGACAAATGTTAATAAACCTTCTTTAAGATGTTTCACTCAAGTTACAATCTTGGAGTATTACTCCATGACTCAATTTTGGAACGAAGTATGACTTATCTTTTTGATTTAACCATTTCAACAATTCACGATTCCTCTTCTTAGTCAAACAAATGCACTAAGATGTCCTTAGAGAATCAATTGTGATATGGTTTCATAATCACTAAGATAATCATAAACATGATACTAAAGTACTCTCCCATCTTTTTAGATCGAGAAACTTTTATCTTTCTGCCTAATTTGATTCTTCTCATTCGTTCTGCCATACATTGAAACTTTTGCAATGTTTCAGAATTATACTTAAACTTGTAAGTATAACCATATTTACTAAACCTTAGTAAATCATGACGAATAAGCTTATCGATCTTTGTGGTGGACTTGACCAGTGCACAAGAATGTGTACTCGATCCCTTAGTCCTTCACTTGACTCACATATACATGTAAACAAGGAATTAGTCTTAATTTTCCAAAAGATGAAAATTCTCATTCTTCATACAACTTGCATGATTCCAAGTTTCTACCCAACTGAAACTTGGGTGATGAGAATCTTTCCTTATTTGGTAAATTATGACACTACCACAGTCGAAAGAATCAAATCCATTTTCCAATATTGCTATCAATGGAAACATATAAACAACAATTTCTCACAAATGCCACTGTAAGGATATAAAATAAGAACTTTTCTTTTATTTTAGAACTTTGCGGAAAACCTTATCCTTACAATGCAAATGCATGTGAAAAACTATGTTGTTATGTATTCCTAAGCAATCTATCACAACTCTTTAAGTAACAACTCAAAATTCTTCCTTTAAGCTTCCTCTCTTTACTTTGATTCTTTTCAACATCAACATGTGACCCAGTCACATCATGTAATAAGAATCTCCAAATAGGAACTTAATAGAGTTAGATAGTGGACTTTACCTGAAGTAGAGTCAAACTTATTGACTTTACCATCCTAATGACCTTTCAGGTAAACTTGGCAGCTTCGCAACCAATGCCCCTTCCTTTGGCAATAGAAGGTTTGGGAAGTCGATCTTCTAATCTAATTTGCTTTTACCAGTGCTCAAAATCATTGTTGACTCAGCAGCACCAAGCAAATAGGTAAGATCATTAAGGGTCATGTCATGGTCTGTCATATAGTAGCTCTAAAGGAACTCACTATGTGACTTAGAAAGTGATTAAAGAAACAAGTTAACAATCAACTTCCTCAAGACCTTGACACCCAACTCTCCCGGCTTGTAAATATGTGACTTCATCTCCAAGATGTGAGCACACATAGACTTTGCTTGCCAATAGGGCCTGAGTGACCTTGAACTTGTGGGTTAGGGAGAATAATTGGAGGGGATGGAGGAAATGAAATTCCAAGAGATTTGGGAAGATCATAGATGTCTAAACTAGACATCTACAATGGGAGATATTCAAGTTAGTTGATTTAAGTCCTTAATATAACACCCAATATGAAATATTAAGGCTAGGACCCAACACAATATTTTACAACTTGGAAGAGGGATGCCGTAATCCAAGCTATGAAATATTTGAAGGTAGGCGAATGACGATTCACCAATTTCCACCATGAAAAACAAAAATTTATTAGGTTTTAATTAAACTCCTAGATCTTTGAGATTCATTGAACTTTTCAATGGCATTTTCAATCTCGATTGTGCCCTCTCAAATTTTGTGACTGGGATGCCGAGGATCACAAAACAAGATGTGAATAACCATGCAAATTCACTTGGTTCCCTTAATATTATCACCTAATCGATATGCCGGTTAACCACACACGCTCCACCGATCTATGTTAGTGTGTCGGTTAACCACACACGCTCCACTAACGACTTGGTAAGGTACAAAGTGTAAATTTCATGGGTTAGCACCAAATTCACATTTTCCTAAGTAACTAAGATTGAGAATTTATAAGTGTTTAGTTACTTAGTATTTATCATTAATACTTTTAATGACGGGAGAATTATAGTCTTGTCAAACCCGTTCGGCCAACGACCCTCCACCAGTCAAGGAAGCGGTGGGTGAGAGTGGACACCTATTAAACTGCCATTTTATAGGCAGTAACCTTATACCCCCCTTATAGACCGGCTTCGTGAATGAGGCCTACTAACGGTAAGACATACTTTTACTCTTATACATATGTATAAATATTAAACCTATAATATTATAATAGTATAAGGGTTGAATTTTAAACTATTAAAATTCTAAGGGTTTAACTTGGAACTAAAGTATTCATGGGGGAAAACTTTACAAATTCCAAAACTTGAGGGCAAGTTTTGAACAATTCAAAAACCTTTTTTCAATTCCATAACTTATGAATTTAAAGTAGTTTTAATGAAAACTCTTCAAGTTCCATAACTTGAGGACAAGTTATGGAAGACTTTAAAAAACATTTAAGGAAAAATAAAATCTTCATTTTCATAACCTATGAGTTTAAAGTAGTTTAATGACTAAACTCTTCAAGTTCCATAACTTGAGGACAAGTTATGGAAGACTTTAAAACCATTCAAGAAAATAAGACTCTTCATTTTTCCTAACTTATGGAAATATTATGAGTTTTAAAGAATCATAAATGTGACTTTTCATATAACTTGAGGACAAGTTACAAAAACACATTTTATGAGCAACTTTAAGATTAATATGGATTGAAAACAAATTATCACATAACTTTTCTATTAATCTAGACTAACTGATAAGAACAAGACAATTCAAATCAAACTTTTTCATGAAATTAGCCTAACCATTAAACTAATACAAAACATGAATCTATTGACAATTATCTTTGAAATTGGTTTAGCATGAACATTACCACATCAAAAACAGGTTTACAAGACCAAAAACAGCTTAGGGTAATGTTTCTAGTCCAATTCCAGCCTTAAAAGTCGAAAATATGCTGTCAGGGGGTCCTACTCGTCGAGTGCACGAACCAACTCGACGAGTTGGATGAATTTCTTCATGGACTCGGCGAGTCCCTCAGTGGACTTGGCGAGTCCAGCACTCAGACATCCAAAATTTTCGATTTTTCAGCCATTTCAGCAAGTATAACATGAAAACAAGCCTTGGCTCTGATACCACTGTTGGGTTTTGGTATAATACAACATCCTATGGTGCACATACAACCCTAAATACCTTGGATCTATGTTTTCACTAATTATACATGCAAATGGTTTCCAAGGTATTGAACCTATAGCTAGCATGCAATTGTCATACAAACTACATAAAATACTAGATATTGTAACATACCTTTTTGTGTGGCTGGAAGTCTTGATGTATTTGGCCTTAAGAACTTAGCCCCAATAGTGTGGAAGCCTCAAATGAAGTCACAACACATCAAGGACAAAGGTAGGACTTGAGAGAGAATCTTCATGCACTCTAAAACCTTCATGAACTCCAAGAACATGCACACACACTAAAGGGGTGACTAGGGGTGGCGGTTTTAGGTCATAACATATGTATTTATATGTGTTGAATTCTAAGAGTCAGGGGTATAACCCAAACCCATATCCATGGATTTTATGATCCATGGTTCATGTGGCCCAACTCTTTATGTATCCATACATAAACTTGGTCCAACATGGATCATAAGCCCAACACATATAAATATAACTAATTACCATAATTAGTCCCCATAGTTTTAATTAGTCTCTTTTGATCACTAAATTAATTCCAAATTAATTCTTGATCAATACTATTTAAAACATATGACTTTATATTAATATATTAGAACTTATAATATATTAATAAATCATATATAACCTCTTCTCTCAAAATTCCATCCTAACAAATTGTCCTGATGATATGCAACCCAAATGGACCATGATACTCTCGGGTCGAATAGATACCAATAATAGTTATGGGCTTAGAAACCTAATCCAACAGATCCTTCCTCCACTGGTCAGCTCTGATCGTGCTCTGGATCTTGCTAGTCCCAGTTGTGTTGTGGAACAAGGATCCGGTGCATAGGCTGACTCGGAGTTGATCGACACAATTATTGAGGGTGTTTCTCGCGATGATCCTCTACCTCCTGATCCAGAGGACGAGACATCAGGGGAGGTGGCGACTGGATCGAGTTGTTCATCAATCAAGCGGCGGTTAGCTTGGTTAGATTCCCCACTTACTAAGGGCGCCCGTGCTAGCACTGTTGGCAGGCGTCTTTGGAAGAAGCGGAACGTCGACTTTTTGTTGGGGGAGTCGGACGTGGTGGTGGAAATTCCTGATGATGACACTTCGAAACAGTCGGAGGGAATGGATGAAGAGTCGATTGAAAAGCCTCGTGAAATCAAGGAGGTGCCAGAGGATACTACCGTTCTTGGTGAAGGCGCTATAGGTAAGGAGTCGGAGGTTACGTTTCAAACCTCTTCTGATTTTGTTTCGCCTCTGGCGAAGGATAGTGTTATTGTAGGTTCTTTTTCTTCGCCTCTAACGGCCCCCATGGTTTATATCCCGGAGTGGGGAGTCACTAGGGAGTCCCTTCTTACGCAATATTCTGGTGCGTACGAGTGGGGCCATCATACTTTCCCTCCGGCCACAAACAAAGCTTTGGAGCTTCTCTCTAACTCTCACATGTCCAACAGTCTCTGGTATGCAGCGGCTCAGGTCGCTCCTTATTTGGTGGCTGCCGCTCGGCGCCTTCATCAGGCCAGTTCAAATTCAGTGGATCTTGCCACCACTAGCGTTGAGCGGGATGTGTTAAGGGCGAAAGTGATGGGGATGGAAGAGGAGAAGCGTAAATATGAATAGTGTTATGACCTTTTGGCTGGTAAAAGGGTGTCTGTGGAGGAACAAGTTACAAGTTTGGATAAGTCGATGGAGCGTTTGGCGAAGAGAGTGGAGACTTTGGTAGGAGAGAGAGGGTTATTGGAAGAGTAGGTGAAGCAGCAGGCTAGACAACTGACTGCCGAGGAATCCAGGATGAAGACTATGAAGGGTGATATGGCCTAGCTGTTACGGGATGGTATTGGTCGAGTGGTTGATTGAGTCATTGAGAGTCTTGAGTTCTCGGCTGGGATCTGGAGTATAAAGGCGGCGTGTGTTTGCAGCTGTTGTAGAGGGAGGAAAGCAGGCGGTGAAGGAACAAGTGGCCTCCGGGAAATTTAATCTGCAGGAGCCAAGTATTGTGGTGGAAATGACTCAGGCCATGTATGCTTCTGTGAGGTCGTTCATGGAAACGGATTTTGCCTCCCTCCTTCGTTTGGTTGAGCTCGACTTGGAGGGCCTTCCCCAGTTGTGTCGTGATCCTGATGTTGAGTGCAACCCTACTGAACGTGACCCTTTCAAAGTTGGATCTTCCTATATTGCTCTCGGTAAGTAATCTTCCTTTATTCCTGATTTGTTTATGTGCAACCGTGTTTGAACTTGTGTGTTTCCGAGACAATGTCTTCAAGACAATACTTTTAATGATTGTTTGTCCTTGTGTGGCCCTTTCAAGTTCGGGGGTTTTCCGGAAAGACAAGGGTTTTTTTGTGTTTTGGTAGCATAATCATATTTGCTTCTGCGATACCTTTGTTTCTATCCCCAGGTGGTTTATGTTGGCCACTAGTGATTATGTGCCCTTATTTTTCCTTGCTGAGGTGATTCTTCCCCAAGGTTTGTGTTGGCCTTAGGGGGTCGACTCGAGACAGTTAGATCTCTCTGCTTGGCGGGCGGTTGTGTTGTTTGGCGATCTAGTCGTGCTACTAGATTTGCTAAACTTATAACTCTAGGACCTATATTTTCTTAAATTGCTTTGGATTTGTCCCGGGAGCTCATGTTGCGGGCTCAGAATTTGTCCTTTATTTGGTTCGTAGACCATTATTCATAGACTGGGTCTTTTTGTCTAGTTTTCTTTGTTAGGGTATTCATCCCCTTTTTTTAGCTAAGGTTTGCTGATTACTCTTTTTGAGACTTTGTTCTGAGTCTTGAGCCTTGGGGAGTTGTACCCTGGCCCTAATTATCTAAGTCAAGTCGGGATCGTCACCTCGATGCGTTTAGGACTTTGGTGCCAAATGTTGTGATAGGTCTTCGAGCTTAACGTTGTTGGTAGATCGTATCGTCTGATTAATCCTAAGAATCACAACAAAGAAAGACCCGACGCTAGTCGTCGTCCGGGAGGGGGACCTGGAACGAGACTCTGACAGTCTAGTCAGTAAGTGTATGGGAGAATTAGAGTTTTGTATTACATGGAGAAAGGGCGATCCTTTCTTCTGGAGAAGAAGCATCTCTTTTATACCTGTCGTCGAGGGAGCATGTCCTCGACAATACCTTTTGTCTTGCTTGGACTGTTACAACTTGGAGGCGTCCTATTGGTGAGTCGTTCACCACTAGTGGTTATCCGCTTTGGTGCAGCGTTACTGAGAAGCAACGTTCTGAGCGTTACACTTGTCGCTCTAGGGAGTAATCTGGTGCTATTTTGGCCTGTTATGGACCTTGGTGTTAGGATGTTAGGGCCTAAGAACGAGACCGCAAGGGCGAAGGCCCGAACCTAGCACCTACGTCGGGTAACGACCGTTAGCTAGGTTGTCCAATGGAAAATTATCCCGTTATCTTTGGCGTATTCTCACAGCGATAACATAACAATATATATATATATATATATATATATATATATATATATATATATATATATATATATATATATATATATATATCATTAGTCGTTACAAAAAAGGAACTTTAGAAGACCATGACACATTACTTAAGAGAACTTGTGGCAAATATGTGGTATCTTGATCATTGATCATTAGGAGCAAGTGGGAGTGACTAATCAAATTGGGTTGTTATTTGGGTTATTATGAGGAAGTCTTGTATAAACAAATTTTCGAATAAATATGATTTTGCAGGATCAAGGTTGAGTCGTTATAAAACTTATTTTCATTTTTAAATTTTTGGATGAGCAATTATTTAAACAAAGTCAACGAAATCTTGCTTTTTTGGAAATCGTTGATTTAACATTTGTAGTTTTAACAAAACTTCAAAAGTTCGGGTTGCTGTTGAGACTTTCTTAAGATGAAAATAATAAGTCTACGCTAATGATATCGGCCCAATCTTGGAACGAGTTTGGGATAGTTAGGGAGGTTTTATTAGGCCATTTTGGTTTTAAGTAAAACATTGTTACTGGGTTGAACTAATACTTGTTAGTCCAAGAATGATCATACTTTGATGATATTATTATTTATACATGCAACTGACAAAAATGGAAGAAAGTAGCGAAAATGAAGCATGGATGAATAAAAAAGCAAAAGACTATGTTGGACAGTGTAAGCATGTCTTATTCCTTTGATGATATCTTAGTCCTCATGACATCAATGGGAAATTGTAGGATGCCAATGCAGTGTCTAAGTAGATCCCGAAGATGAATATGCATTTTTTTTTCATTTTTAGTGCAAATATTGGACGTCTATTTAGTATCCATAACTCCATTTGAGACGTCTTGGCCTCCTACATAACATCTAATACGACTCTTGAGATGTTGTCATCATATTTTTCCCTAATCTACCTTATTTGTGATGCTATATAAAAGAAGGCAATATGGTTCCCATTGGGGACTTCTTTATAGACAGTTTTCACAGTACTTTAAAGATGTTTAGGTCTTCAAAACATACCTATATCACATCCACACTAATTCCTGGTTGTCAATTCGAGTGTTTCCCATCACACATCGAATATTACATGAAGATTCATATCAACCATTGTAGATATGAGTATCATCCATAATCGGAGTTGATTATCTTTGATTATATGTAACAATTGCTCTCGTGATCATAACATGAGTAGTTTCTATTTTTGTTCTTGTATTGCATTTGAGTCTGAACATTTTAGATTCATGAACATTGTATTTGGTTTGGTTTTCTTAATAATCATATGAATGCCCATCATTACTCTGGTCAAAAACTAATTTGATGAGAATAAGTGTAAGAGAACTCCATAGTGATCTTGTGTGTAGGATGGATGATGCATATACACTTGTTTTGATCCCATATTTATGACATTAAGTACCATGACTATGTTTATGTAGTCTAAATGAAGGAAAAATTAGTAACATTCAAAGCGGGGTGGTTTTAGGAATCAGACTTGAAATCGCAAGTGACCTCATTTTACAAATACATAATTAAACCATTTTGCAAACATTGTTCTCCAATTGAATTCAATCTCATATGAATTAGTGTTACCAATAAGCTCCTTGTGGCTTCGACACTTACTTGTGTGACTAATTAGTGTTTTTAAGGTCCAATTTTTATTATATCAATGAATGTAATCAACTATGTTTTAGTTCTTGAAAATTTTGATTATTTTTGTTATCATTTGGGTTTAAAAGTTAGCTTTAGATGTTTGTAAATTTTCTTGTAATAGAGAATTTGGTGGCTACAACAAGCTGAATAACTGGAACAAGAAAGAAAATAACCAAGGTCCAACTACTTAGCACAAAATAATTTGTTATCAAGACTCAATATTAGCATTAGACTTAATGGACTACTAGGTATTACTTTGCCTAGTATCGACCAAGACCAAGAATGAACTTATATCCAGGTCAAACAGACAACCACATCTTGGTTTATCTATATCGATTTGGTTATAATGATGCAAGTTGTGGTGGTGGGAGGAGACCATTAAAGATGTCATGAAATTTGTAGTGGCAACAAGTTGAACTAATAACCAAAAGGCTTTTAGTTCAGCGGTATCAGGTGGTGCCCTCCCTATTTGAGGTCAAGGGTTCAAGTCCCATCATAGACATAGGTGGAATTAGGTGTTAGTTTAGGAGTAGATTATATATTTATATTTTCAATTAAAAAAAAAACAAGTTGAACTAATAAGGGAGAACAAACAGTCAAACCTCAACAACGGCGACATGCTCTGGCAAAAGAGGCAACAATGTTTTGGCGAAGATAATTTTTTCCACATATCATTTTTTATGCTTGTTTTTAATTTCATGAAATTATTTTAGGTTAATTTCTAATGGCTCAAAAATTTATCCCTAGAAATGGGCTTAGGCAATACATTTTTTTAATATTCTACTATATATTAAACTACATTGTTGTTGCCCTTTACTTTTGTTATAGTTGAAACAAAAATTGACATAAATGCATATTTAAAAACACATAATCCAAAAAGAGTCTTTAAAATTAAAGATGAATGTTTTGTTAATAAATGTGGGTATATTTTGTGCCTTGGTCAAGCCTAAGCCATATGCCACCCAATGTGTTTTTAAAAGTACATTGTATGTGTGCGATTTATTTTGTAACACCAAGTTTTGTTAATAAACGGTGAAACTAAAATTTTCCACAGACACCCAAAATTTAAAGCATGTCATCCAAGAGTTAGAACAAAATTTAGGTATATTTTGTACCTTGGTCAAGCCTAAGCCATATGCCACCTAATTTGTTGTTATCTATCTTGTATAGTTATAAGTGAGAAATTCAAATGTTTAGGATTGAAAACTTTAATCGTTTACTTGGAAAATCCTAAGCATGAGACATATATGAGAGCTTAAAACATGACATAAAATTATTGGTCAAAGTATCATAAAGATCTAAGATTTGCATGAGAGTGTAACTATGTGAACATTACCTACCAATTAAACTTATTAAAATGTGTATGATCAACAAAGCATGTGAATAATACCTTAATAATGGATCTTGGACTTTATATAATTAAATTGGCTGATTAATTTATAAAGGATTACAATCTTGAAAAAAAATATTAAACCAAAACGTTTCCTTTGTGGATGACAACCACAAACACTTTTGCACTAAGGTTTTTATTTGTTTGAGAACATTAAGTTAAACAATGAGAACTTTGCAGATTGGTATTGTGTTTTGAGAAATACTCCCAAGGATAGTAACAAACTACACTAATTGTTAAACTGCTTCCTAATCTACCTTCTAAAATAGCACCATATCATCAATATCATGCATGATGTAAAAAGTTTGATGAGCAAAGAGAGTTTACTGTTTTTATGACTTCTTGCTTGAGCCCACGGCTAAAGGAAAAACTACTGGAATATGAGCCCTGATTTGTCATCAAAAAATTTAAACAAAAGTTCCAAAAAATTTTACACATGAGGGTTTGATTAATTAGGAGAAATCCGACCTAAAGCTATATCAGATGAAAGTTATGAAACCTAAGGTTCTTCCCACCAAGAGGATGATGCTAAATTTCAAGGGAAGACAAAAAGCAACTTGCATGGTCGGCCTAAGAAAAGAAAATCTCGCCCATCTAAAGATGTTGGTTGCTTAGAAGATCCAATGTAGAATACGTCTTTCGTGATCGCGCCCAAGAAGCAAACAACAGACTGGAAAACACCTAAACAGAAAGCACCCTAAAAATCAGACAATT